GGGGGAGCGGGGCTCGGGTCCGCCGTGATAGACTCTTCACGTTTGCAAATGTTCAGCTGCAGAGTTCTCTCTTAACACCCTCCGTCTCCTCCTCAGTGCAAAACGGGTCTGTGCACCAGAAGGATGGGTTAAACGATGATGACTTTGAACCCTACCTGAGTCCCCAGGCCCGGCCGGTGAGTACCTGCTAACGGGCAGGAGGCCCCGGGGCAGCTTCCTGCTGCTCCCTAGCGAGGGAATTCGGCATCCCTGTGCTTCCCCAGCTCCACTTTGCCACCTTCCCTACCATCCTGTGCTGTTTTACACCTCACTTTCTGAAGGCTGTGAGGTTGTGGGGGGATGTATAAAGGTTTGAGCAACTTTCTGAGGATGTAAGAACTTCCTCTGGTTGGTGCTCAGCTCATTATTTATTTATTTTTTTTCAACATAACTGCCTTGAAGTTACCATTTCTGCTCTTTCAGTTTTACTCTTGTGACCTTGTTTCCTCACTGCTTTCTGGCTCTGCACCCTGTGAGGAGCTGCACCACTGGTTGTGAAACTGCCCCACACTTGGCAGTTACTCTCTGAGGGCTTTTGGAGGATCCTGTCAACTTTCTTATCTCCCCACTGAGTAAACTGAAAATGTCTGTCCTGGGGATTCTGTATTTGTAACCAACCTCCTCCCCTCCACCTGAAAACATAGGGGCTAAAGGCTGTGAGGACTTTTTCATAGAATTATGGGATGGTTTGGGTTGGAAGGGACCTTAAAGATCATCCAGTCCCAACCCCCTGCATGGGCAGGGACACCTCCCCCCAGCCCAGGTTGCTCCAAGCCCCATCCAACCTGCCCTTCAACACTGCCAGGGATGAGTCTCCCATGACTTCCTTGAAGTTTTGAGCACTTAGGAATCAAGCTGGAGAACTTGTGCCCAGCTCCTGAAACTCAAAACTTCCTGATCCTTTTCCTCTTTAACTCTCTGTTTACAATTAGCTCCACTCTTAAGTCGTTTTTACTTTGTTTTCTTAATGAGCAGTAGGAGAGTGGCAGGTAACAGATGGAGTTCAGCTGATTAGATGGTACAAGTGGAGCATTAGAGATAAACATCTGGAACAATTAGTTCATCTCCTTGGCTTCTCTTTCCTCTCCAGTTGTGATTAGCAAAAAGAACCTGTTCTGCTTTTCCCTTTGTTTTCCTGATCATTTTTCCCACTCAGTTTTTTTCACACAATCATGGTCATTATCAGAACACAGCAACAGGTTTCTTTCTCAGTTACAATTTCAACAAGTGTTTTTCAAGTTTGGGCTGAAGATATGAAGCTAAATATTCCTCTCAACTGTTTTACAACTGAATTCTTCAGAATTCAGCCTGTCTACAGAGATAACTCCCTGCATTCAGCTCCCTGAAAAGTTAAGAGGACCAGCATAGATTGAGAGTGAGGTGTTTTCTGGAGTTTTTAATAGGATTTAAGGATTTCTTAGGATTTAATCATTTAATGGTGGGGTGGGGTTTTTTTTCTATCCCAGAATTTAACACCAATTTCCAGCTTCCTTCTGAATGTGGGTGTATTTCCTGCAAAGTGTGATTGGATTTAAATCCCCTCAGGATATTGATGGTTACCACAGTGTTAGAACCAACATTTAGCCCTTCTATTTTTTGCATGTTTGGTGAAGAAGTTACAAACATTTAGGCGTGTTTTTTCTGCCTGTTCCACAGGAGTAAAAATACTTCTTAAAAATAAGGAAGTGATTGGAATGTTCTGGAGCAGAGTTACTGCTCCAGAGAGTCAACAGGAGGGAGGTAAAAAACTCTGTGTCTACCTGGAGTGAAATTTTAGGGTGATTTGACCTCAGTTTCTCACCCTACTGTGTTTCCTTGTCACCTCCCATTGTATTTGGACACTGGAAAGGGTCCAGTCTGGAGGGGACAGAGGTTCTGCTGGGCTGACCTGTTGGGTTCCTGGTGGGAAGGAGCAGCTTCCTGACATTTCTACACCTCATTTCTGAAGATGGGACAGGGGAGTTGCAGATACAGCCCTGAAAGCTGAGCTCAGTGCAGCCACTGAGCAGCACAGGTGGCTTCTGAAACCACTTTCTGAGCCCTTCACACAAGCATGAGGTGACAGTTGTGAAGCTTCATGGCTCTTCACTCAGTAGCTGCTCTTCCAGGTGACACTGTTACCAGCTTCTCAGCCCAGTCAACCAGTTTGCAGTGTATTTGAAAGCCCAGATGTACAGTAAGGGATCTTGCAAGAGCTGAAAAGACAAAAAAGCTCAGCAGCAACAGTGAGCTTAAACCCTGGCTGTGGTCTGAGGTGAAGAGGAAGAATAAAATTGAGGAAATAACTGCACAAAAGGGCTTAGTCATTGGAGAGAGTTGAAGGTCTGATTTGCATCCTCATCAAGGGTTGTGCCAGTTGGGTGTGCAAGGGTGACAAGAGGTGTGTGTTTGGTGTCTGTGTGTGACAACACTGTCCCAGACCTCGGGCATTGAGCAGCAGCTGCTCAGCTTAAATCTCTGACCCAGAACATAATGTAAGGAAACATTTTGAGGTGACAGGGGGACAGGTTTTCACCTGACAGGGATGTTCTTTCTGCTCTTTGAGGGAGGAACCTGCAGGGCTGGGGTTTTGACATTTCTGTTCCATTAAAACTGAATTTCTAGGAGAGGGAATTAGGGGGGATTTTCTTTTGAAGAGACTTTGTCAGTTCAAAATAATAATCTTTTAAGTCCCTTCATTTGCCTTACAAATGAGTTGGTGAGTCTGTTGGACAGATGGAGCCTTCAGGTTTGTTGGTTGGTTTGGGTTTAGCAGTTCCTCAACTAGTCAGGTTGTACCCTGGGTGAGAGTTAGTTTTGTTCTTTGCTTTCTTTGGGCAAACAGAAATGCTGGTGAGAAAGTCTTGAGTTCTCATTGATTCCCACCCTGAAGAGCCACCAAAAGGTGTTAGTTTTTTATCCCACCAACCCAACCTTGTCTCTCCACACTTGCTGTTCAGTTATTCCTGGTAACTTTTACACACTCAGGGCTGGCTTAACCCCAGACCTGTTGCTTTCCTCAGACTCAGTGGAAGGTAAAGAGTCAAACCAGCTATTCTAGAGGGTGCCAGAGCCATCTCAAGAGCTTCCCCAGCTCCCAGGATGGCATGAAGTCCTTTGGGAGCCACGCTGGGCCCGTGAGAACATGATTCAACAAAAATTGGAGCCAAGCTTGCTGCAAGCCAAGCTTTTAAACAAGAACTGAGCCTGATTTTTCATCTCCTCAGCCTTGGCTTGGGCTATGAGAAGCTGCAGAGCATGGGGGCTGCCTGCACAAAGGTCCCAGACCCTGGTGACAATGGCCATGAGCCTCACTCGGGCCTCTCCCTGCAGGGGGAGTTGGTTTGCAGGCAAAATGACACATTTTTCACATCAACAAATCTTGGGGATGTCTGAGAGTTCCCTAATTAGACAATTTGTGACCTAAAGGCTACTTGGGTGTTCAAAGGCAGACCAAGTGAGGGAGCAGCTTTTTGGCCCCTCTCCAAATCTGAATCCCTCCTCTCTTTTCTGTGCTTCCTCATGGAACCCTGTTGATTTTGCCCCATTTTCAGGTGGTTTTGGAGTATGTGGAGGATGAGGCTTTAAATTGAAGTGCTTGCTTGCAGGTTCTTGGAATATTTTGAGCTCTGAAACCTGAAATTGTGGAGGATAAAGCTGCTTTCATGGGTAATGAGTTTGAGAGAAGGGACTCAGGCAAGCTGGGGACATTGATTATTTTGACAGTTTCTTTCACTGGGCTTTTTTTCCTCCAAATCCCCCTTCTGTCTTGATTCTTTTCCCCCAAATACCCTTCAAACAGCAAAATTAAGAGGGATACATTGATGACCCAGGCAAGAAAAGCCCTTTTTGGTAGTTGCTACAGAAAATAGAAGATAATATTGGGATAACCAGGTAAGATGTTGGTTTTAGAGCCTGAGCAGGAACTCTGGGGAAGTCCAGCCCCAGGTCAGGAACACAACTGGTGTCTGGCTGGGCCTGGGGAGCCTGCTCAGCCTTTGTGTTTAATCTTCCTGGCAACCAGACAGTTTTTAAAGCACCTCTTAACAAAGGAGGGTGTTTCAAGGCTGGGCCTGTTTTATCTTCCCAACCCTAAGGTAGGGAGGGGTGGAGCACGGGAAGTCCAAGGTGGTTTTTGTCCCTCCTCCCTTGATTGTTCAACTTGTTCCAACTGTACAGTGCTTATATTTTGGGGTTTTTTGGTATGTTTTCTGTTTGTTTTTTCTCTCCCCCAGAACAATGCATACACTGCCATGTCTGATTCCTACTTACCCAACTACTACAGTCCTTCCATCGGATTCTCCTACTCCTTGGGTGAAGCTGCCTGGTCCACGGGGGGTGACCCCCCCATGCCCTACCTGACCTCCTACGGACAGCTGAGCAACGGGGAGCCCCATTTTCTCCCAGATGCCATGTTTGGGCAGCCAGGGGCTCTGGGCAGCACTCCATTCCTTGGGCAGCACGGCTTTAACTTCTTCCCGAGCGGGATCGACTTTTCGGCTTGGGGGAATAACAGTTCTCAGGGACAATCCACTCAAAGTTCTGGCTACAGCAGCAATTATGCCTACGCCCCCAGTTCCCTGGGGGGTGCCATGATCGATGGGCAATCAGCTTTTGCTAACGAGCCTCTGAACAAGGCTCCTGGCATGAACACCATCGACCAAGGGATGGCTGCCCTGAAGTTGGGCAGCACGGACGTTGCCAGCGGAGTCCCCAAGGTGGTGGGTTCTGCCGTGGGCAGTGGGTCCATCACCAGTAACATGGTGGCATCCAACAGTTTGCCCCCTGCTACCATCGCTCCTCCAAAGCCCACCTCCTGGGCTGACATTGCCAGCAAACCAGCCAAGCAGCAACCCAAGCTGAAGACCAAGAACGGCATGGCAAGCTCCAGCCTTCCCCCACCTCCCATCAAACACAACATGGATATTGGAACTTGGGATAACAAAGGGCCGGTGCCTAAAGCTCCGGCTCAACCTTTGGCTCAGAACCTGGCTCAGCAGCCAGCCCAAGTGTCCCCCCAGCCCGTGGGGCAGCAGATC